GATGGGATGGGATGCGATGGGATGGGATGCGATGCGATGCGATGCGATGGAGGAGCAGGGATGCTCCTGATCCCTGGCAGGAGATGTGGATCACACCTGGGCCGTGCTGAGGAGGGAGCAGCTCTGTGTGCTCCAGCATCATTTCCCCATGAGAGCTCTCCTGAGGCAGCCAGGAGCTCTCTGAGGCTGCCAGGAGCCTCTGGACCTGTCCCCACAAGCTGTGACAGACATTTCCTCTCCACAGATGGTGATGAGGAAGGTGAAGTGATGCAGTCCCAGACTCTGTCCCCACCAAAAGATGCGGCTCCCGAGGCTCCAGTGTGACCAGTGGACCCACAGCTCTGCAGGAGCACTGTCTGCTGACACCCACAGCCCCAGAGGAGCCCTGTGCCCGTCCCTGTGCGTGGCACACACACGTGGGCATCTCCAGCAGCCTGAATTCCAGCTCCTGCCTCTGCCATCCCGGTGACAGCAGCACATTTGCATCAGGAGCCTCTGGGTGAGTAATCCCTGCCTCTGCAGCTGCAAATCCTGCAAACTCCCTGTGGCAAACCTGCTGCTGCTCTGGGCAGGGAGGATGCACTTTACTCCCAAAGCAGAGGATGAAAGGCTCTGTGGCAAGGGCTCCTCTTTGAAAGGGCTGAGCCCAATGCTCTGCACTGTTTATTATCAGAATCACTGATCTCCAGAGCATTAATGCCCCTGCCTGCACACACACTGCAGCCTGGCTGCCTTCTGCTGAGCATCTCAGCCTTACTTCAGCAATGCTGCTGCTAAATGCAGTAAAACACTGGATTGAAGGGATTCACCTGTTTCAGCCACTTGTCAGGATGGTGCACAGTGACAGGAACGGCCTGAAATGGCTGCATTTGCCCAATTCCTGAGCTACAGGTGTGCAGCCAGGCAGACCTGTGCCTGTCAGCACAGAACTGTCTAAAAATTAACCAGATTTGCACCTTCCCTATCTGTCTGCAGATAAGAGTGTTACCCCAGGGACAGGCAGGGGATGTTGCTGATAGACTGAACCTGGGTGCTGGGGAACTCCTGACTTTGACCTTGGCACTTCTATCACTGGAGCAAAATTCTGCATGCTTCTGTTTGCTTACATGGAGATAAGGATGCCGGTCTCTGGATTAAAAGTGTCATTAAGGAGGCACATTATGATTATAATTATTATTTTACAAGCTGGCAGGCCTGCTGCTGAGGTTCTTCAAGGAGTGTGTGCCTTTGCAAAAAGCTGGAAGAAGCTGTACAGGAGGATTTTCTCATACATAAGCTGAGGAAAAGGATTATCTGTGAAACAGCTAACACTTTTTATTTACTGTGAAAATCTGAGTCTCGCTCTCAATTTCCCATCAAGATAAAATGCAGGCATTTGGTTAAAATGGTAACTTAATGCTCCAGAGGTTTAATTACCACCACTCTATAATCAAAATCAACACAGAGTGCAAGCTGTAGCTCCCAACTCCAACAAGAAATGCAGCTTCCCACAAAGCAGTCAATAAAAAGAAGATATATAGCATGTGCTTGGATTTTGTGGTCCTTCCCACAGCTGAACTTGCAAATCTGCTATTGCTAATGGTTTTCTTTCAAACCTCAGGTTCTCCCTTAGCTTTTATCAAGATCCAGAGCTCCTTATTTCTACATTTTAACTTTCTCTGGGTATAATATCAATATACAAGGTAATGAATTAAGGGAATTTGCAGTGCTGGAAGCTAAATTTCAATTTTTTTTTCCTGTACCAACAGAAAGCACTGAACTAATATCCACAGTGGTTATTATTAAAAATTTATAAGGGCCTTGGTTGGAAAAAGTGTCATGAAAGCAGGGATGTCTTCTGGGCTGAGGCTGGTGTGATCCCTGGCATGGATCTCCATGGATCAAATGATCCATCCTCCTCCACTGCAGTTCCTGGTGCTTTTCTTTAAGGACTTCAGGACTTCTGGGTCGTAGGACCAGCTTGCGTCTTGCTTAGGACAGATTTCCCTCTGCAAGTTGAGATTTCTTTTCTCCAGCGCATTTTCTGAATGGGGCCGTGGTGCTGTGCCGAGTGATGATCCCTGTGAAAATTCCACCTGCTCTGTATTTTTTCTGTTTCCTTGCAGGACAGGTAAAAGCTTTCCTTGTGAGCAAAGCTTTTACCTGTCCTGCAGCCACGGCCCTGCCAGGCAGAGGGCAAGGTGTCAGCACAGGTCCTGTTAACAAAGCAATCCTCTGCCCTGTGCCAGGGGCTGAGCCCTGGATTTACATCCCAGATGTTGCAGTAGCAAGCACAGAAGTTGCTCCCCAAAAAAAATTTTTCTATGGTTTCTGCCCTCTAAGCAAGGGTTAATTTTCCTCCTCATCAGCCCCCCATAAAAAGCAGCACATATTTTGTGACCTGCTCCTACCGACTTGTGGGAATAAGAGACACCCTATTAGCAATCCCTGTCCAAACAGCGCTGCACTGGTTAGTGCCAGCACTTTCCATCCAGCACTAGTATTTGTTTTTCCATGCTCTTAATCTTAGAAATTGAATTGAGTCTGATAAAAGTGACTTCCTGAATATTGCATAACAGTTTACGTCTGTCAGGAGCGAAGACAAACAGACCTGACCTTGAACTGGAAAAGTTTCCTCCCAGCAGGTAAAAGCTTCCAAAAGTCTGAGCAGGGGCTCCCTGTCTCCTCACTGTCCTGGGGCAGCAGTGAGGCTTCCCTGGCAGCCATTCCCTCCATAAAAAAGCTCAGTAAAATGCTGTGGATCCTCCTCTGGGACCTGAGAATCCCCCGGAAAGAGCCGCAGCAGGAAGGCAGCTCCGTGTGCTTGCTCCGAAAAGGAGGCAGAGGAGAAATCCTGTCCATATCTGGCAGGGTTTAGCCTCCAGGGATTAATTAAAGGCTTTTTCAGTTTTTCTTTCAAACCTCACAACATTCATCCCCGCCTCACTGAATAGGGAAAAGGGAGAGGCATTTTCTCTGGTGAAGCACCAGCCTGTTTCAATTTTCAGTTTTACATTGCAGTAATGTGCTTTTCCTAAGGGAATACCACAGGAAGGGCAAACTTTGGCTTCTCACCATTGGAGCATTACGTCATTAAAACGAGCTGGAAATCTGAGCAGCGGGCAAAACAAATTCCCTAAACTTAATAATTCCCCTTTTTCTTGGTGCTCCTGTCCCTCTGCCCTGCCCCAGGCAAGGCAGGTGGAGGTGCTGGCAGAGCCAGCAGGGATGGGGACCAGTGAATGAGGAGTGGGTGATGATGCCACAGGAGCAGGGAGGTGTCCTGCAGCTTCTGAGCAGCTGGAGCTGGCACTAACAGAGCTCTGGGGCAGCCAAATCCTTTCTTCTTTGACTCAGGCTTTTGGTGGTGGCTGCAGCGGGGCCAGAAGGTGCCACCTGGCTCTCAGGACTCCCTGTGAAACATTTGGGATCTTATGCACAGCTTTCCCACTGCCAGAAAAGTGCAGGGTTTGGGAGACTCTGGGTTTTGGGCAGCATCCTGAGGAAGCAGCACAGCTCCCAGCTCAGCCCACCCTGAGTGTGTGTGTGGTGCCCTGCAGAGCCCCGGCTGTGCCCTGCAGGGTTTGTTTTCTGACCCCATTACCTATTCCAGTTTGGTTTTCAGCTGCTTAGGCTTGATTATTTTAAACCCCTCTATCTGATTATCAGCAGCCCAGCCAGGCCAGATATGGGGATTCTGGGGGATCCCCAGCAGTGTCACAGAAGGATCATTTGCCTCATTCATGCTTCTGAGGGCACTGGGCAGCTGAGAGGGCAGGGGGAAGAGTTGCAGGGATGTTCCAAACAGGGGAAGGCAGCTCCCTATGAAGCCCCTGTGCCACAGCCTGGGGTATCTCAAACTGTGCTGCAGGATGCAGGACCTTGCTGAATCCCAAACTGTGCTGTAGGACCTTGCTGAATCCCAAACTTTGCTGTAGGACCTTGCTGCCGTGGTTGTGAGGGAGTTCCTGTCACTGTGCCCAGCACCCCCAGGAGATCTCAGTGCTGGGCACCACGGCACACACCAACCCACACTGGCACAGCAGGATGCTTCTGGAAGCAGAGCAGCCCAGGGACACGCTGGCATGGCAAGGTGCAGCAGATTGGTACCCAAACCAGGCATCCGTGTGCAACCTTTCCAGAGCTGCCTTGCTCCTGCTTTTCAGCTTCCTATTGTTGTCCTAGAGCTGTGTTTTCCTCCTCCTCCCCCCAGCAGGATGAAGAAGCCTCCAGCTGGCCTAGGAGGCTTATCAGCTCTGTCTGGCTGGGTGTTAACAGTTTATTTGCATAAGTACCTGTCCCCGTCATATGCCGCCTGCCTTTGTGACTCACTGGAGCTGTTTATTTTTCCTCCAGCAGCCAGGCTCAGGCTGCTGCTCCCTGAGGTATGCCAGGGCAGATGCCACCACCCCAGGGCATGTGGGATGCCTGGCACGCTTGGGGCAGGAGCTCACCCTCGCTGCCTCACCCGCTCCTCCTGCCCTGCGGGACCAGCTTGGAAATTAAATGTAAAACTGGTCTGGTCCTGATTTCTCCTGGCTGTCAAGATAAAATTAAACTGAACCCCCTCCCATTTCACACCTCAGCAGCTGTCCCTGGCTGGGGAGAGCAAGGCTTCACCTGGGACCACAGTCTCAGCCCCTGTTGCAGGGAAGGTGATGGGCAGCTGCCTCCTCCCTGCTGACAGCACTCATTGAAAGGGACCCACACAGATCATCGAGTCAACTCCTGGCCCTGCACAGGACAATCCAGAAATCCCACTATGTGCCTGAGGGTGTCGTCCTAAGGGAATTTGGACATTGTCCAAATTCTCCTCAGCTCTGTCAGGCTTGGTGCCGTGACCATTCCCTGGGGAGCCTGTTCCTGTTCTCAACCTTCCCCCAGGGGAAGACCCTTTTCCTGATATCTTTATTTTCAGGAGCTGAATGCCTCAAAGCATTTTCTGACCTCAGGTCTCAGCTCCAAAGGCAGAGGCAGTGTAACCTGCCAGACAAACCCTTGGGGCTGTGCTAAAGCAAGCACTGTGGAGCTCTGCTCCAAGTGTTGGTCCTGACCGCGGAGTCACCTCCTCAGCCAGGAGCCAAGCGATCTTGTTTCTGCTCATTAGCTCTGAAAGGTTTTTCCATCCATAATAAGAAAGTCATTAATGTTAAACTTCCATTGCCAGGTAGGATTGATTTGAAGATTACAAGCACTATAAAGGGGGGATGCATTGCAAATACAATGTGTTAAAGTCCTGGAGCACAGGAATTGTTGCTTCAATGGTTGCCTGTCATCTGTGGTGCTCACCAAAGCCCATCCATGGAGCTCAGGCAGATGTGGGGCTGCTCAGCAGCCTGGAAGGGGTAGCAAAGAGTGGCTACTTTCAAAAGGAAAAGGAAATTCAAATCAGTAGCATCCTCTGCAGAAGGGCTGTAATCCTGTCCCAGGAGATGACAGAATTGGTGATTTAACAAGTCTCCATGCTCTTCTTCCTGTGATATGTTATTAATATGGTGCAAAGCCCAGATGTCCTCAGTGTTTACAGATGGGAAATGCTCAGTATGAGACCCCCCTCTCCAAGGAGCTACCAAGACTGACTTATCTTCTCCTGAACGTGGCCCAGACACCTGGGTGCTGTTGTGTGGTGTGTTCTGCTGATGTGTTCTGCTTCCCCTCCATGGCTGATGTGCCAGTGGATCAGCTGTCCCTCCATCCATCCATCCATCCATCCATCCATCCATCCATCCATCCATCCACTCTTGGATGTAAAAGTTATTTCAGACATATATCATTCATCATATAAAATGCTTTTGACAATGAGCAGTGCAGGTGTGCGTTGCTCCTCTGACTGGGAGATGGGATGGATGGATGGATGGATGGATGCATGGATGGATGGATGCATGGATGGATGGATGGATGGATGGATGGATGGATGGATGGATGGAGGAACTTGGTGAGCAGAAAGAGGGATCTGGCTCAGCTCAGCACATCCAGCCTCAGCTCTGCCTGCGTGATGTTACAGGGCAGACCAAAGTGTGTGAGGAAGAAGTGAGCATGGCAAGGCAGGTAACCAGTAATTTCCTACGAGTATGATCATGGAAGAGGATCAGTGGATTCAGTTTGTCCAAAGAAAAATGCAGAGAGAGAAAAGAGAGAGAGAAAGAGGCAAGCAATACACCATGTGAACCATTCAAAAAGTGGTTAAAGGAGCAGAACCACAGAAAGATAAATTCATGCAGCCAGGAGAGTGCTGCAGGAATCTCATTATAAATATCATGTTCAGTTGTAGATCAAGAAATCCTCGACTTGCAATCTTTATCTCTTCTCCTCAAATGCATTAGCAGCTGACTTGTCCTTCTGGCTACTCTCAGGTCTTTCTGAGATGTTGTTTCCCATTCCATGTGCTTCCCTCATCCAGGCTGGGTTTGCTGCATGGGAACACTGATGGAGTGTCCATGTCAGCCCCCCTATGGTTAAAACCAACCCTGTAAGCAAACCTTCATAATTTTATTTATGACTTCTGGATGAGATAATGGTTTTCCACTTTGAAAAGAAAGCTCACTACTTCAACATTTATTTTCTATAAATGCCATGGCATTTATATTGCAACAGGAGACTATTCAGTGACATTATCTGATAAATATCTTGTTATACAGCTGCAATTTACAATGCATATATTTTTAACGGTGCTTCTAAGCTAAATTAAATGCTTCTAAAATATGGTACTTAAGGAAAACAAATGTCTGTTCTAGCAATTTTGTTTTTCAGGGTGCACTATTTTTTTAAAACCAGATACCATCTTCATCCTGTCAGGCAGTAAATTATGCACTTGCACTTTCATAAACTCTCCCCTTGGGAACTTAGTCAATGAAATGGAAATGTCTTTTTCACACCCTCCAACTCCAGAGAAATACAGGGAAATAGCCAACTTGGTTATGAACTGAATGTCTAGAGGGAATCCATATGAAATGTGGATTAATGCAGTCCTGATGCATGTATTGTTTAGCATATGTACCATTCACTCAAATGGTGCATTGAGTTGTGACTGGGATCATTAATGTCTCCTTTTTTTTCTGAATTGGGGGAGTAATTGCATGTTCCATGGTGGGATGTGCAGGTATGAGGACTCTCCCTGGCACTGGACTGTGAACCTCCCTCCCAAGGCAGGACACTGCAGGAGGAGGAAGGCTCTGCTGGCCTGCTCAGGGAGTAAAGCACAACAGCATTTACACCTCAGCTGGTCTTTCCTGTGTTGTGGGGTGGGATTGGGCAGGACAAGGGCTTGCAATGGCATGTTCTGCTTGAGGGACAGCCTTTCACAAGGAACAGCAGAGCTACTGAGGCAGCTGAATTTGATGTTCCTTGCACGTCCCTTCTAATTGAATTATTAAAATCTACTTCTGTTTTCACCATCCATCACCCAGAACCACAGAGTTTTGTCTGTAGCAGTCAAATATCTTCCCATGAAGCCCTGTGTGGTCCAAGGAGTTGTGTTATCCCCTCACCACATCATGCATGGAAAGTGTGAGAATCCAGCAAAAAGGCAGCAAAGGAAAGGGAGGCAGGAGGGGATTTGCAGGGGACCCTGCTGAGATGCCCAAGGATCCCTCAGAAGCAGCAGGAGCTACAGCAGCTCTCCTGAGCCAGGAAGGGCACTGAAGCTGTTCACCTGACCACTGATGGTCCTCACTTTCCCCAATCTACCTTGAGAGCCCTCTAAAAGCCCCAGCTCTTCCACTCTGGGGAATGCAGGAAATGTGAGGTGTATTGGATGCACTCAGCAATAGCAGCAAACTCAGAGAAAACAGGAAAATCAACAGCAACAACAAAAAGAAAGGAATCTTGAAATTTGGCAGGAAAAAATGCAGTGCAAACCCCACAAGAGCGTGAGTATCTTTGCACAAAGCCACTTATGGATGCATTCCTTAAAGGTAATCCCTTCAGACACTGTGAGGCTGCCATTTCTTTGAAAGATATTAAAGCAGCTGTTGCTAGAACACAGAGAATTACTGAGCTATCTGTCAGGGGATGGACATTTGTAATGCTATATCATCTACTTTTTTTTTTTAATTTACAGTTTGTTTTCATACCAAATTTCCAGCTAGTGAAGGTAATTGAGACTGCAAACAAAATCTCACTATCCACTGATCTGCCAAATCAAATTTTTTCTCCTGTAAGTATAGTGTATTTCCTTAGCTTCAGAGAGGAAAAGAATTATGCAGAATGAATAAGAAAGAAAAGGGGTTAGTTTAGGAAGGGATTAGTTTATATAATGACCATAGCAGCCATCTCTCTGTTATCTGTCATAGTTCATTCCCAAAGATGTGAATTATTATCATTGTCATTTAGAACAGAGCTTGTCATTTTCCTTCTGCTGCATCTGCTTACCACTGTCCAAATTAACACATATTTTAATAAAAACCAAATATCCTGACTATAGCCGGGATATTGGATGACCCCAGCTGGGATATGGATGGAGCAAGATTCTTTATCATCTTTGTGTTGCCCTCCTGGAATGACTGTGCACTGCCCTGGTCCTCCAAAGGAATTAAAGTAGCCATGAGGTGTTTTGATGACTTTTGGCTACCAGAGGCCTCAAAAGAGGGCATCTAAGGCAGTGAATTAGTAGCTGTGTGTCTCCTGTGCCGTTTTCAAGCTGTGTGGTTCTCTAGGAGCTCTCTGTCCCTGGAGCATCTCCCTGCTCCATGATGTCCTCCCTAACCCAGCACCAGTCCTGGGTGGGTGTCACAGCAGGAATGGGCTGAGGGAGCTGAGCTCCCCTCGTGGCCTTTTCCCTGTCAGAAAACAGAATAGTTCTAAAGATCTTCAAAATGACATATGATTTTTGCTCCCTTTGGGGACTACATGCACTCCCATGGACCAGTCCCATCCATCTAGTTCTCCTTGGGCTATGGCAATCAAATTTGATGCCAACATGGCAACTGGGCTTTCCTCCTTCTCTCTCCTGTCTGCACTGAGATTTTCACTGGTCTCAACTCTTACTGAGAGGTATTTTTCAATCAATGTCTTGAAGAGTAACTATTTCATATGCTTGTTCTCCTGAAGTTGCTTTAACAATTTTGTAGCTCTAAGGTGAGCTAATTCACCCCTAAAATTCAGGTACTCACACCTCATCTCTGCAGCAGGATGCTCCTCCAAGGTGGGAAAGCAGCCCTGAGGTGACAGCTCTGCAGCATTTTGGGGGACTCAGGGTAAGTGATGGGATAACTCTGCAGAACTCACAGAAAACTCACAGAGATTCTGTCCTTCACTTCAAAACATCTGTTAATTCTACTTGTGTGCTCATCATCGAAAGGCTGCCTATATTTTTCCTTTCAGGTTTGCGAAAATAAGAGCCGGTGAATGAAGATGAAAGAGAAATGTTGCTGGTTTCTTCCCTGGAGATCGTATTTCTTACTTGTTGCATAACTGCTTATTTTAGCATCAATCAACCAAGCCTTTGTTGTGCAGACAATTCTGTCCTTTTAAAGGATTTGTGCAGTATTGTTTCTTCCAAAATGCTTTTTTTTGTTGTTTTTATTATTAGATTTATTTCCTCTCTTAGCAAATGCCAACTGACAACACCCTGCAACACCCTGTCAGAGCTCTTCATAAGTGTTACATAAATGTCATACTATGTAAACTGAGTGTTGTATGTAACATACACATGACCTTTCTGGAGAACCATCCATCAGGTGCCGCGTGTGCCACGTTTATGCATCTGTACACAAACTGTGTTTAAGTGTGCATATATGGTAGCCAAAAATCTCTTAATGAGAGTACTCAAAAAGCACAAATGTCTGAACTTTGTCAGTGCAACTTCATGTACACCCTTTTGCTGAAGCAGAACAAGACTTCAGTTGCATGTGCAGATACTCTTTTCCCTCTGCATGGCTGTGTGCAGTGAGATGGTCAGCAAGGGGCTCAGCAATGCCGATTGTTCAGCACATGAGCCCAGGCACAGCACGTTATCCAGAGCATTATTCACATGTCTGACCACTTTTGGATTTCACAGCAATAGAAAATACAGCTCCAATACTTCTCCGTGCAGTTTTCAAAGCAGAGCAAGGTGCTCAAGTTCTGGATTGTAAAAATCTACTGAGGGTGCAACCAGGCATGCTGTGGACCTGTCATGTCCTGCTGTGACCTTCTTTAGAGGTGTACTCCAGAAATCCTGGAGAAATGGTCCAGAGGGTGGTAAGGCTGTGGCATGCAGCACAGGACCAGAGCAGGGACCTGCAGGTTCCTCAAAAGACAGAATTATTAATTTCCTCATGGCTCTTTCTACAGCACTTTCCACTAGACTGCCTCAGTGCTTCAGCACCTTCATTAATCCTCCGAAAACACTCATTCTGAAGATGGGTCAGAGTGACACATGGATGGATTAAGGTCAGTTTTGACTAATTCAGGGTACTCCATCTGAAAAGCATAACGTCTGCGTTTTCAGAGCATTTAACATGATACAGCACTTCATACATGCAAGCACAGCACCCACTGCTTCCAGCTGCACAAAGATGGATGTCAGCAATTCAGGCTAAAGGCTTCCAGCCACGCATCACAGTGAGGGCAACAGAGCCATCAGCAGCCAAAAGTTTGGGTTAATGACTTGGAGTGTTACACAGCCTGTGGCAAGGGCACGTAAAGAATCTCCTTCTTTGGGAGAGTTTTATTCTTTTGTCACAGTCTGCCTGTGTCCTGCAGCCCTCGCATCACTCCTTGGGCAGTCTTTGGTGATGCAGGTAAGATGAGAACACGGCCAAAATTTGTTTCCTTTTTGACTTACAGAGCAGAACCGTGCTGCACAGGTGTCACAGAGAAATCAGATTGTGACAGTGTAACTAAGAACTGCATTAGAGAATGTGTGCACAAGTAAATCTCCAGAAATTGGTATGGAATGCCTCACTTTGGACACCTCTCATGTCCAGACCAGTTAACACAGTGACCTTCACAACATCTCTTAAGGCAGACTGTGCTGTAGATGGGGTGGGACCTGCAGGTGAAGTCCTGTCAGGGTCTGTTCTCATGAATCCCACTGCTCTTGTAATCCAAGGAAATGCTTTTTAGTCAGTAGCTGGTGTCTCCTGCTCCCTGGGGGGCTGCTGAGAGGGCTCCGAGCACCTGAAGCAGCAGGTGCCCCAAGAGCAGCATTTTGAGAGATTTCAGCTGCCAGAACTGGGCATGTTTATTGCTGTGTGGTGAACTGCTCTTCAAAGCCCAGTAACACGACTAATTTGGGTGGATTTATCTACAAAACCATAAAAGGCTGCTTCATGCCAAATTTCAAGACCTTATTTCCAGTGTTAGTCCTAAGAACCACAGCAAGCTCAAGAATGACCAAAGTGATGCTCTTCCCCTACTCTGCTTTTATCCTTGGAAGTGCCAAAGGACTTGGAACCTTTGGAAAACATCCAACACAGACTGCCAAGGCAGAAAGTTACAGCCTAATTCATTCAAGTTTGGTAATTTATAACAAGCCACAACAGGGATGTAAGTTGGGGAGCATCTGGCTATTGTAGCTCTGGTTCCTAATGGTTTATAATTGGTAAATCACAATTTTAGGGCTGACCAGCTTAATGAATCAAAAGAGATGATGGCAGATTGTCACTGAAAGAGGGTCTTTAACTTGAATTTTAATCTTCTGCAGCATTGGTTTAAAACAGTTCAAGCCAACTTCTGTAGGGCCCCTGGGAGTCGGGGCAGATATATGCTCTACATCCAATTATTATTACTATTATTTTAATTTAAGAAGCCGTTTCTATCCCGAAAGCACTGCTGTCGTTGTTTTTAATCCTGTGCAAAACAGCTGGCAACAGGCAGCCCTGAGCCACCCAGAGC